TCTCTAAAAGATGTATCATCTTGAATGTAGTTGGCAAAGGCTGGAATAGATTTCTGGGTTATGCGGTCTCTGACATCAAATGTTGATGCAACACTACTGAAACTGACACTCCGGAGTTAAAGAACGTTTTCAATTTTTAAACTCCCAAATTCATTAGACATGTAGTTTTAAATGCAAACCAACGCCATTAAATCTGGAACTGACACCATTTTATGAAGTATGGTCATTTGCTTTTAAGGTAATTTCTTCTGTATGTGATTTTAAAAATACTAAAAATGGCACTTCTACAGCACACTTTAATTATTAAGTTATTATTATTCAAATGATAATAAAATGTTTATTAAAATATTCAAAACATGCCATGTGTCTTTCAGGAATCTCATCCAGTTTTCCAACTGCTGTTGCCCTATGGTCAATTCAGACAACACACGCTGCTGCCAACTTCGGGGCAGAAATCTCCTGTCTGCCCGCCTTTCTAAGTTACTTTGCTTATAGGGTGACTGAATACACTGCAGAAGCTCCATGCTGCTGAGAGACCACCCAACCACCACCTTAATTTCCCAGAAATATCAATACATTAGCATATGCACATTTAATAAACATTTGTGTCGTGGGTCTATGTCACAAGTCTTCAAGTACCCAGCAACACTTCTGAAGTGAATGGATGGACATTACATGCATATGAACAATGTAGGTGGTACTTTGCTTGCTTCACTACACCAGGTATATAGCTGGAATACAACAGCCATCTTCAGTTGTGTTGAAGAAAACAATGTTTTTATAACACAATCAACAATAAAACACTGCCACATGTCAACTCTTTTCTTGGGGTGATTTCCTGGCCTTTAATGTTTAGCTTTTTATAATGATATCAAGAAAAAAAAATGCTGCCCTTTGGCATTTTCAGCATGCAAAGTCTCTCCTACACAAATGTAATTTTCATTCTCTATACCTCCCCCAATCTGAACAGTCGCATGTCAGGCTTCAAATTAAAATATTAATCCTCCTTTAGGTGTGCCAAAAATACCTACACGAATGCTGTGAGCTCTAGTCTCAGGTAAAGCCAAATGTTTCCTAGAAATGAGGTTGAAAGACAGCACTATCGTGGCAGAAACAATCTAATGGGATGTGTATGCTGAGGGAGCCTGCAAGAACAGTTGTAATTAAACTTTCATTATCAGTTCCATTATAGAGCTGGTTTCTGAGGAGGTTTAAACTACTACACTAAAAAATGGCTTTTGTGCTCAGCATTTGGGCTTTATGTAGTTGTCAAGAGCAGCTTTGATTTCAAACCTGCTTTTAACACTAGGCAACACTTCGTTTTAAATACAGTACAATCAGGGGCAGAGGGGCTATTTTGTACTAATAGATAAGGCAGCTTGGTTGATCATTTCAGACCAGCTCACATCTGTGTGTATGCGTAAAAAAGCTCAGGAACAAAAGCATCAAAGCTATAAACAATACATGCAGAATCAAGTTTTTCTGCAATAAATCTGAACAAAGGTCCCCAATTCTTTTCCAATGAGTGTTCCCATATTTAATAAAGGGGTATGAATCCATTTTTAAATGCATTGCTCAGGACTGGATGTCATTAATGTTTGTTTCTTTTTACATTATTACTTTGGTACATTTGTGGAAGTGATATATATGCTGATCATATGGATTTAAGATGAGCAACTGCAGCTCTTCAGCAGCTCATAACACATTTCCAGAGTTGCCCCTTGAACTATCCATTGATTCCTACTACTTGGAAATGGGACAAATGGACTTGTTACCAGATGATTTGAATTGTACTTCTCAACTGTCATCATAACCCCCGTTTAGTGGCAGAAACCAAATCAAATAAAGGGACATATAGAAGCATCAGGCAATACAGAGTTTTTGCCATCCTTCAGATAATAACGTATGGTTCACTCAATCATTTAAGTAATCTAAAGCTTCCAATTAACATTTTTAACAGGAAACTTTCAGAGAAAAAGGAACTTAATGACTTTGTTCATTTCAGTATTTGAATAATGGAAGTATTTTTAGCTCCAACAACTGGTGAAATCCTCATAACATCCTCCAACGGGAATAATTTAATCAGCAAGTGTTCGCTTTCCTTAGGTTATCTGGGTTATCTATGTATTGTATTGAGCTTTGGCTCCAGACACCCCAACTCAATCCAATTTAGTCCTATGTCTGTACTTATAGTGCATTGTGTTTATAATTTTACACTGCTACATCCCAATCAAATTACCAACTGGCATGGCTCTAAATGGTGGAACTGCTTTGCAAATTGGGATGAGATGGTATCATTTGAGAGGGCTGTAATAGCTTTCCTTTAAACAATATTTCATTTCCTCTCTCCTGCCTGTGTTGTTCTGCAGGGATAACAAGTGCCATTATTTTGTGCTTTTCACACTTCCTGTGACATTCAGCTGGTTTTCATTATAGATTTCTAGCTTGCAGGACAAGCGAAGCCTTTCTCTGCCTCTCTTACTGAGAAAGCCAGAGAAAGGGGAAGGAGAAAGGAGGACAAACAAGATACTCTCTCACAATATTTGAATTCCCACTTTCCTTGTGAAAGGCAATTAGCTCTCCCTGCTATTTTTCTAATTTATCTCTACCAAACGAAAACCAAACTTTACTGAAGCTGCTATAAAGACATAACAGCAGTCTACACCCAGCTGTACTACTCTGGAGCTTTCTACACGATAGTCATTTGCCCGTGGCATGTTCTGGTAAGTAAACTCACCAGACACAGAACTACATGCTCACCTGTAGCAATCAGTCAAGAGGAGAGGCCATTTTGCCCATGCTCTGTAACTAAGAAGCCAGACAGCACCTCCAGAGTTTCCACATCATGAGCTTACAGACCACCACAATAATCACAGAAGAAATGCAATTATTTACCATTCTCACAGCTTGATAATGTGTTCATTCTAGACCACCTGCGCTTTGACCCAGGATGTTCACAAGATCACTGCTTCTGAACGCAAGCATTGTTTGTACAGTTCAAACCTTTGTCTTAGCATCCTCCTGTTTTCTGCAATATCCCCTTGAGGAATGAAGGTTGCAAATTTTCCATTTAAGCAAATATTTAACAACACTTACCTAATGCTTTCTCTGGGCGTGGCTCTCACAGTTTCTTATCTTTTGCTTGTAGCCCTTTGGCCAGAAAACCTCTCCTGGTCAATGCAATTTACTCCTCATTCTCTCTTTCTGACACCATGTAGTTTCTGGGCACCATGAACGAGGAGCAGTTTTATAGAAGAATCTAGAACGCAAAACTAAAGGCCTAAGTAACTGTCCAGGTCATGTGACCTGGCCATGTGACCCAGGGCAGAGCTCTAAGGGAGTGTCGATAAATTGCAGGCTCTGTCAATAAAGGTCAGGAATACCTAGTGCCGGGGAATCACTATTAACATTGCAACCTTCCTCAGAGTCACTTTGCTAGGTTTGGGTTACTTGGACCTGGTTTGTCCCAGTTTCTTCAGAGAACATGTAAAGGTACTCTGAGATCTTGTACCAGTGCAGGTGATTTCAGGTTAAACATTATGTGGCCCAAGGCAGAAATGTATTGAGAGCACAAACTTGAAACCATAGCAACATCCACAGAGGAAAAGGAATCTAATCAAGCTATCCATGGGAGGCTTGTGCGCATTCCCAGCCAGGCAGCCTAGTTACTTAACAGCTATTATTTATTATTTTTATACAGCACCATAACTGCACATGCACCACACAACTTTTTTAACCTCACAATTAGCTTACTTTTATGGAAACAGTGGTGACGTGAATAGAACTCATGAGAAATCAATGGAAACTTAATTTGATAATAATGAGTTGCCTCCTTTGCAAGTTTTTGTTTTGCTTTTTTGGGGTTATTTACATGCCTACCTTTCTGCCAAGGTGTTTTACAATCTAAAATGCTAAATCTAGAATACTAAAATAAACACACAGAGAGACATAAAATGCAATATAAATGTTAGAACAGATTAAAAGCACCCAGGGCTCCTCCTCCAACTTGAAGGCTATATGAAGCTGTTAAGGATATATAAAGGCCTCTGCATGCCAAAGGCAAAACAGGATTCCAGGCCAAAGAGCTGGAAATTATTCATAATATGTAATTCAGCCTTGGCCAACCTGGTGTCCTCCAGATATTTTGGACTCTACCTCCGTTTAGCCACATTGGGTTGTCTCAAGTGTATTAAAAGAATCAGTACTGCTACCTCTCCAGGAATTATTTTTTAGAAGACTGTTCTTTCAGTATATATACTCCTATGAATATATGCAGATTTAGAATTGCCAATGCTCTAATACTTTAACATCAGGAAATAAAAGGCAGGTGACAACTCCAGTTAAAAAGCTGAGAGAGTTTTGACGCTTCTGTAAATATTGCAATGAATTTCAAAATAGGCTTTTATTGCAGTTTTTTTGGAGAAAAGGTATAAAATTAATAAGACCAACATACTAAGAAATTTTTATAGAAAGGCAAGCAAGCTAGGATGTTCTAAGGAAAACTGGCAAGAGGCACTTAATGAGTTTCTACTTTCACAGTGGAACATTGTGCTGCTGCTGCTGCTGCTACTAAGTCAGTGCCATAATTTTTTATTTATGGGTTATGCTTTTCCTGCTGGGATCCCATATCCAATGAGCTCTAGCAAAACTTATCTAAATGTTGTTCATGCTTCACTTCCCATTCTCAACTCTTGATGCCTATGTTTTTATTGTGTTTTTTTATTATTAAAAAAACACAATTTGTTATCCTTGACACTTCAAGAAAGCATATACACACGTAATATATAGACTGCACAAGTTAAGTGCGTTGTAAAGACAAGATCACGATTTTCTAGTCTCTGTGGGCTTGCTCCGTGTATTAAAATAAATCCCAAGCACCAGAATTTACTCAGGGGAGAGGGAGAGAGAGAGGGAGGGAGGGAGAGGGAGAGAGGGAGAGAGGGAGGGAGGGAGGGAGAGAGAGAGAGAGAGAGAGAGAGAGTTTGCTTTTGATGCCTGGAGTTTTTACTTGCTTTGCCCCATCTACAAGCCTTAGGAGCCTTTACAAGGGAGCTGCTTCTAGATGAAATGGTAATGCTGGTTCTGACCTTCTGGGTCTAGATATAAAAATGGACTGGGGGTTGCTAAGCACTATTGCCATAAGCTTTGGGATTATTTGGGAATGTACTGAGTAATTGGCCTATTGGTAAGCTTTAGATGCGCTTGATCTTTTGAAATGTTTAAAATGAACCATTAATTGTTGAATGCTCAGTATGTTGCACAGATATTATGGTTTTTATTATGCACCGTGGTTATTGCATTTAGACTTTGCTTGTTTTCTGTGCTTAGAGCAAACATTTATTTCTTTGTGGAAAACGCTGTATGTAGATAAACGGACCATGACTAAACCAACTAAGAGCACATATTAACAGTATCTGCAAAGCCAAATACACCACACAGAAATTCAGGGAGGAAAAGTACTAGCTGGACAGAGTTCTCTACACACCTCCAAGTAGGAGTTAATGACAGAATAATACTCTGCAACAGTTCAATGCACAGAATTGATGTTCAGAATACAGAGTGTGCATGGCAGAGATCAGAATTCCAGATAAGACATCTGAAAATGCAGTTTGGAAAGAAGAATTACTTATTAACTCACATGAAATTAGCTGAAGTCCTTTTATCTGATGCAAAATTTAATTGAAATTATATTGGTGCTTAGCAGACACTATGGACAGGAAAAGAGAATTCAGGTGTATAATAATAAGAATATGACAATCCCATTACTGAGAGCTAAGTTTCCACTGCTCTAACTCATGAGTATTACATCTTTTGACAAGCCCATGTTTCTCATGCAGCGATGAGATGCTCTCTCCCATTTCCCCATGGAAGCTTTACAAGCAAAGATTCCATTGGAATAGAGAGAAACTAAGGGCCAAAGGAAGGCTCATGTTGTTCAATCTCATGTTCTGCCCTGTTTTTGTCTACTTTTAGGAATGTATGGGTGACAGGAACAGCTGGGCAGGGTGAAAAAGTCCCAATGCTGACTGCAGAAAAGGAAAGCTGGAGAGAAAGAGGATTCGCATGGATCTTCACCTGTGCACTGCAAAACTAGTCAACATTTTCAACGTGAATATAGGAGATATGCGAAGAACATGCCATGCCATGTCTCCTTCGACAGAATTTATGTAACATCCATTTATTTACACATATGCCGGTTGTGGGAACAATGGGCAGCTGATGGCCCCCAAATACTGTAACTCTAAACCTCTATGTTCCCAATCTATAATTTATAACATTTTTATTATGCCTTTCCTCCTAGAAGCTCAGGGAGCCATACATGTCTCCTTTGTTGTATTATAAATTCTAATAATCCTAAGTAATAGATCAGCAGTAGGTTTCTTGCTTGAATAAGATTTGAACCCAGGTCCTCAACCCAACTCTTAACACTTTCTTTATTGCCCCAGACTGCCTCTGAAAATGGAGGTCTCTTATACTAACCCAAATCAAATTGCAGAACCCCTCTGTGAAATCTTGATAATATATTGAGACTATTAAACAGGGCCATATGCATACAGCTCCCTGATAGGGATCGTAACACAGACCAGTAGCAGAGTATCTCCTAACCCCAATGGAAGAGAGGCTGGGTTGAACTTAAGGGCAGTGCATAGTCAAGTCACCATGCTGAAACAACCCACCATCTATTCCACAGGTGAGTTGTGTCAAAACAATGCTGTAGGACAGAACTGGGGAAATGGATCTGTCCAGCAGATTGAACCTCTCATTCTCCCACCCTTCAGTCAACTTTGACAGGCGAGTGGTCCCATCCACCTTTAAATCACCTCATGTCATAATGATGTCAGGTGACTGACATCTGTCAATGTTTAAAGTTGCTTGCCATAACTGCCAATCAGCTGGTTGGCAATCCCTGTGACCTCCTCTGAAAGTATACTTCCAGCCCCAATAAGTTGATTGGTACTGGAAGTGTGCTTACAAAGGGGCTCGCTCTGTTTCAAACCACAGTAGAGGAGGTAAGGGGCAGATTGTTATAAGTACTTGCTGAATTGGGACCTAGGTAGCCTGGTCATAGAAGCCCAATGCCTGCTCTTTGTTCTGCATCCTCAACAGAAGGCTAAAAGTTTGACTGAAGGTGCATAGAACAGGAATTTAAAGAAGCACCAGACTCTGGCTAGGGAGGTGGATAAAATGGTCTCTAGGGAGATGAGCAGATACCAAAGCAGAGGTAGAGAAACTAGGAAAAATTCATAATCTGGGATCACAAGGGTCATCTAGTCCAACCCCCTGCAATGCAGGAAACTTTTGCCCAATATAGGGCTCGAACCCACGAACCTGAGAGTAAGAGTCTCATGTTCCACCCACTGAGCTTTCCCAGCTGACGATGGGTGAAAAGAATGCCAAGTGAGAAAGAAGAAGTCATGCTGGGACTTTGGAAGGCAATGCTACTGTTTTCTCTTCTGCAACTTCAAGTGGCTTACCATGATGGAAGCAATTACCAGAGTAGAACACATTTAGCCCTCCACTAAAATTTCAATCCTGACAGTGCAATACATTCCAGCAGTTTGGAATACCCATTGTCCATCTTAGCATACAGCTTATCAGAGTTCTGCTGTTCTCTTTCAAGGGCACGACTCCAAATGTTATTCGCTGATGTGAAACCTGGGGGTGTCAAATCAATGGCTCATCCAGCTCAGTAACACATCTTCGGCACTGATTAGATCAAGTCAGTCATGTTGTTTTATCAGCATGAGTACCTCCATTTTTTACTGTTTACTCTAAGACTGGCAGTCCCTCTTAGGCTGTGTACACATGGTCATTTACTCTGACTCCAGTGTGCATACACTGCTCACTTTTAAAAATCCATGTACACATGATGTTACCCAGGATCCAGAGTTATCTCAGAGTTTCTGGTGAAATACTGCATTTTGATGGGGGTTTTCCCTAAGCCAACATCAATGTAATTCAATCCTTATTCAAGTCATACTGAATCTCAGATGTATACATTTTGGAAACTTTCCTTGTTTTCTAGATTTCTGTTAGTGGAAATGGGGCAGGAAAAGCAACCAGGTGATTCCCTCAAGCAAAGAAATCACTGCCCAGTCTCCATCCACTGATATGCACAAACAGCGGGTCACATCTATACACATCAACCCATGCTGATGACTACCATGACAGGCAAATTCAACATGAAAATCAGCAAGAAAAAAATGACCTTGCTGCATTTTAAGCCGGTAATGCGTGCATAGCCTTAATACACTGGATGTTACACAATGGTTAATTCTGTGTTTCATGTATGTGGTACAGTGGTACCTTGGTTCTCAAATGTCTTGGTACTCAAATGCCTTGGTTCTCAAACGCTGAAAACCCAGAAGTGTGTGTTCTGGTTTTCAAACGTTTTTGGGAAGCCAAACATCCAATGCGGTTGTCAGCTATTGTTTCCGGGGCACCTGCACCAATCAGAAGCTGCGCCTTGGTTTTCAAACATTTCAGAAGTCAAACAAACTTCCAGAACGGATAGATCTTGGCGCTTTTGTTTTTGCTATTTATTTTGCATTTTTGTTTTTGAGGCCTTTTCAGTTAATTTGTTTTTGTGACTGTCTGGAACCCAGTTCAGCTACTACTGATTGACTGATTGTGTGCCTGCAGAAATGGATAAAAGCCCCCCATCCAAACAATGACTATCATCAGTGCAGGCAAGAATTTTATTTTTTTTAATTCTTATCATCTACAATAATGTCTTATTTATTTTATAGTACAGTACATTGATAACTGCTTTCATTTTATGGATCAATGGTCTCAATAGATAGTAAAATTAATGTTAAATTGCTGTTTTAGGTGTTGTTTTTAAAAGTCTGGAACGGATTAATCCGTTTTGCATTACTTTCTATGGGAAAGCGGACCTTAGTTTTGGAACAGACTTGTGGAATGGATTAAGTTTGAGAACCGAGGTACCACTGTACCACCCTTTCAGATACTGAAATATTATTATTTATTATTAATAAAAATATTATTTATTAGTGTTATAGCAATGTCAAAATGCATATTGCTTTGTGAAGCTCAAGAGGGCAGGTCTTTGTCCTTCTGTAACCAAGCCTAAGTACATGTGATTAAAATTAAAGCTGGGAAAAACAGGGGGAGAATACGCTATTGTTTTAGTCAGAACTTTGGGCTACAGCATGGGGATTAATGGTTAGTGCCACAGGCTTTAACAGATTGAACAGATAGGCTCCCAGTCATGCTGCATATGGTTGCACAGAAGCCTGTCTGCAGGGTGAGGCAATTGACCCGGGGGGGGGGGGATTAACATCACTCAAGCCAAGTGCTATAGCAGATACATTCAGAAATATGAAGATATCAAAAAACCAAAATTTTATCTAGGGCATTGGTTTGAGTTCAGCATGGAATTTTTTGCAAATGAATTTGGCAGTGCAGCCCTAGGCAAGTTTACTCAGACGTAAACCCTACTGTACTCAGTAGGACTCACTCCCAGGCAAGCTGGTAGTCTGAATCACACACACACACATTTCAAAACAACTCAAGGGTATTCCATAAGTTGCTTGTGGGGATATGTCAAAGTAAGGCTTTGGTGCCTTGATGGGATTTCTGGAACAGAAGCGGGTAACAGTTTGCCTTTGACAAAGTCAAGAGGAGATCCTGCAAGAGTTTTTTCTGTAATCATTTATACCACAGATCAATAGAAGCTCTTTTGTAAATCAACATCCCACTTGACATTCTATTACAAGTAGTGCTATCACCTGTCAGTAGATGGTGGCAGGAAGTCACACTCCCTCCATTCAAGGGAGCTTGGCTTACGCTTATAATTGGAGTAAGTGTGCCTCTGAAAAATTGGATAGTGTGTTCATATTGGTTAATGCAGCCTTCTCCCAACCTAGCGGCCCTCAAGATGGTTTGGACTACAGCTTCCATCAACCCCGATTGCTGACCATGCTATCTAGGGCTCCAACTTAAAATATCGGGAGCTCCAGATTGGCGAAGGCTGAGTTAATGCAACACTTCCAAGCAAATTTACTAATTCTTACCTCTGTAAAAGGGACGCGAGTGGCACTGTGGGTTAAACCACAGAGCCCAGGGCTTGCCGATCAGAAGGTCGGCAGTTTGAATCCCTGCGACGGGGTGAGCTCCCGTTGCTCGGTCCCTGCTCCTGCCAACCTAGCAGTTCGAAAGCACGTCGAAGTGCTAGTAGATAAATAGGTACCGCTCCAGCGGGAAGGTAAACGGCGTTTTCCGTGCACTGCTCTGGTTCGCCAGAAGTGGCTTAGTCATGCTGGCCACATGACCCGGAAGCTGTACGCCGGCTCCCTCGGCCAATAAAGCGAGATGAGCGCCGCAACCCCAGAGTCGTCCACGACTGGACCTAATGGTCAGGGGTCCCTTTATCTTTACCACTGTAAAAAACAGGGCTGCTAATTCATTTGATTCTACTTGAATTTCCACTGAGATTCTTCAAGTATTAACTTAAAGACCAGAAGATTCTAGGAGTTTCTAAAGGAAAAAGATCAAGGAACCATAAAGCATATGAAGTTTTTGCTGGCTGAAGTCTATTGACTAAGGAGGGTTGGCAGGGTCATAGGGGCAAGTTCATTTCAACTCTGTGAAACATCAGTTTTGTTTTGTTTGTCACTAGACTGGTTTGCAATCCATCTCATTGAATAATTCATGGTGTGGATCTTCATGTGGGTATTGTACTGTCGGAATTTCTAACATACTCCACTAATCTATAAATACCAACTATAAATGTTCTGAGCTGGTAACTTTTATGGCTGCGAGGATATTTCTCTCCCTCTCCGCCACTCTTCGTTGGAGGGATACACTGTAGATTTTTTACTGCCTCTCTTTTACTAACACTAAATGCTACAAACATTAGTGTTATTAACATATACATTAGCTTGAGCTGATTTCTTCCTCCAGCTGCTGTTCCACGTTCCGATGAGAGGCTGCAGCAGTGAATCAGATAACACTAATGAGTGAGTTAATGAAGTTCCTGCAGTGGAATGTGCCGCTTGGAAAGGGGTATTGAAAGCATATCCAATACCCTTGAAAACTCAAAATGGTCTTCTTCATTTACTTCCTTTGCTTTCTGGCTTGCACCTCTTCTGGACCAGGACTACAATAAGCAAATGGCTTTGAGGACGGGGAGAAGAGCAGCAACTCTCCATTCCAAAAATGCACAAGTGAAAAGAGAATTCGAGTTAATTAGGAAACCGGTTCCAAGTGGACACCAGCCAATTCCAGTCCGCCCTGGATCGAGCTGCCAAACCTTTGCTTGCCTTTCATCAAAACTTCCTGCTCCTGTTTTCTTGTTTTGCTTTAAAAAAATTAGCTCACTTTTAGTAACCTTCTTAATAGATCCTCTCTTCTTTATTACACATAGCCCAGATCCTATTTCTGCATTTTAATTAAAAACAAGAGCTTCATAACTCAGACAGAATTTGTTTTAACTGCTCGCAGGGGGAGGGGGGGCAGGAAGAAAAGAAAACTAAGCCGAGTGAATGAACGGATAGGAATTACAGGGATTGCCACTGCCTCCCCAAAGCAAGGGGGTTACAACAAATCCAAGCCACCTTGCTAAGCCATCCCCATCACACATTCCATCAGCTCCAGCTGCCTAAAGCTCTGTTTCATCCCAGCAAGCCCTATCAGTCATAGAAACTAAATGCCTGGTACTCAGAGGCAATGTGCCTCCTTACCTTTAGGATGAAGTGAGCTCTCATTAACACATGCATCCCTGTACTTTTCTGTGCACAGGTGCAAGGTGAGGGCATAGCCTGCTGCAAGCTGGACCCCCACCTCAAATTTGCTCACAGCCCTTGGGTGCCCGTTAACACCCCACCTTCTCAAAGGAAGGGACACCTTTTCTTGGGGGAGAGATGGCAGTGCCTTAGGCCCAAATCAGTTCTTGATGGAGCTCCTTAACAACAAACGACATTCAGGAGTTCCTACTGGGAATTCTGCAACTTGACGCCCCAAATCCTGAACAGGAAGAGATAGCTCTCCATGCATCTGTGGGAGAGGTCTTGTCCGCTGCCCCCTTCCATTCCCAGAGATCATTTTTGTTTGCAACTGGAGAGGAAAAAGGAGGAGGGGGAGGAGAATCAGAGGGCAGCATCAGGCAGGCCAGCTGCTTGGGGCTTTCACCTAGAATAATCGAAAAGTCCCATGCAATTCTAATGGGAGCAGCATTATAACCATCCATCCCTATTTAGGATAAACACAGGGGAATGCTGTTGCCTTGTTTTAATGCTTCCTAGAAGTGTTTGACTGAGCAGCCATAAAGGCACAGTGCTGAACTAGTAGGCGATTTGGGCTCCAAGCCCTAAACAGCAAAGCCCCAAATCATTTCTCTTTCCTGATATTAGTACTGCTTCTGGAATAATATTTCTTGTCAAGCCATGGTATGAAATGTTCTGAATGCTCTTCTCTCCCTGTAGACTTTTTTAAGTTTGCAGTGACTAAAAGGGAAAAATAAATTCCCACTGTAATGATGCAAACATGTGTTCTCTTCGCAAAGCATAATTAACAAAAGATTCACTGCCGCAAGATGTGGTCCTTAGCTTTGAGATACACACACACACACACACACACACACACACACACTATTAAGACATATTCAAAAATAAAAGGTCCATTGACAGCTATTGTTCAACTGGGAGTTCAATGTTCAGAAGCTGTATGATCTGGAGACCAGATGATGATGATCATCGTTATTTCTAAAGGGATTTTGTATTTATAAACACAGCGGGACATTATACAACAAGAGGTTTCACAATAGTAACATAACAGAGATAGCAGCAGCTATACATTACTACCTCTCCCACCAGCCCTCCTCTCTTAGCTCTCACACAAAAGAAAAAGCAGGAAAGGCAGACAACTATCAAGGAGCTTCTGATGCCAAGTAGCTCAAGAATTTCTCATCTTGAAAACCGTAACTGTCTTTGTAACTGTGTTGGAACATAACCTTGATCAATATAGTGTGAAAATAAAATGAAACTCTGCAATGGTTCATAATATGTGTCCAGGCTGTCCAGTCCTATTATTGTCCATAAATGATGGGTTAATTTTCCAGCTACTGCTATAGTCCAAACTTTGCAGTACTACAGAGACAAGTCCAAATCTTTCAGGTTCTTCCAAAGATGAGCTATTGATAAACGTGCTGCCTTTATTACAAAAGACAACACTTCATTGGATTTAGTGTCCAAGTTTGGACCTTCAAAGACAGTTAAACCCAACTGCAGAGTTAATGCAATATAGTCTTTCAAAATTGTAGTTATTTCTTGGGATAC